AAAAAAAAAAAAAAGAAATACAAATTGGTAGTTACAAATTAGTCATGGGGGTATAAAGCACAGCATTGAGAATATAGTCAGCAATGTTGCAACAGCTATGTATAGTGACAGGTGGTACTAGACTAGTTCGGGGGACAACTGTATGAATTATATAAATTTCTAACCACTATGCTGTAAACTGAAACTCATATGAAATAATATTGAATATAAACTGTAACTGAAAAAAATAAAAAAAATTTAAAAATACGCTAATTTGGACATTTCCTTAATCTTTCTGATGTACTGTTTCTTCATTACAAAAAAGGGGTGTGAGCACTACAGACTTTTTAGGTGACTGTAGAAATATGTGTAGGGTAAACTGGGATGAACACTAGCTCTGTCACTAGTTTGCTGTCTTAGACTGGTTGACTAACCTTTCTGAACCTCAATATCCTCATTTGGAAAGAGCTGCTCTGTTCCTGAATTTTTCAGATAGTTATGGTTAGGAAATGAATTTAAATGGTCTGGGAATTGCTTTGTAACTTGTGCATATCATAACTCTGCCCATTTTATTAGTTCTCTCTCCTTCAAATTCCAAGTACCGTATATTGCTGTGTATAATGCCCCATTTTTTGCCCAAATTTGTGAGGGTGCAAATAAGGATGCACATTATACATAGGTAGTACTAATTCCGTATCTATATAAATGTTTTTAATTCTTTTATTTATGCTTATGAGTTAAAAGTGTAACTCTAGAAATCAATAATGATATCCATATGCAAAATAATACCTTGGAATACGATACTTGGTTTTGTTGAACTTATGACGAACTTGCAATGACGAAGAGTTCTTGGCCTTCTATGATGCATAAATATCATAAATTGATTACCTGTACATAAAATTTCTTGCACATTGTATCTGTTCTTGTGTTTTGTAATTATTTGTTACATAAAATTTCTTGTACAAAAATACGTTAAAAAAATAAAAGCTAAAATTCCTTTAAAATACAAAAAACAAGTACCTAAATATAAACAAATAAAAATTTGAATTAAAAACTTGAAAGATTTTTTTCCCCTGAAAGTTTGGGCCAAAAACGTGGGTGCATATTATTCATGGGAGCACATTTTACGTGGTAAAATACTGTATGTTCTAGTGCAGGAAGCATGTTTTATTCATCTTTATCCACTCAGCACATGCAAAGTGTAATACATAATATGGGCCTGTAATAGTTTGCTGAGTGGATTAATGAATGATTCTTTACTCTTTCAGCTCTACAATGCTTTCCCTTCTGTAATACATTATCTCCCAGGAAGTCATAATACTATATTTAAAAACATTGCTGAACAACAAAATTTTATCCTGGAGAAAGTGAAAGAACACCAAGAGACCCTGGACCTTAATAACCCTCGAGATTTTATTGACTACTTCCTGATTAAAATGGAAAAGGTATAAATGACCCTAACTTGCTACTTCATCTTTGTGGGTGAGGTGTGACTCATGGGTTAGCTTTGATCTTCCCAGTAAAATTGGGATAGTAAAACAAATGCTTCTTCCTAAAGATGTATTAATTGCTTGTGCACACCATATTGGGTGTCTTGAGATATTTCTAAGTTCTCACTAAAAATAACTTAGAAGGTTTTATATTTACCATGCTAAAGCTGGTTCTTTATGTAGGAGCAGACTGAAGCACACACACACAACCAAGCACATACACATGAAAGATTAATGATAAACAACATAAAATGAGTTCCATGAATGGAAGCTGTAACCTATGAGGGAACACAGGAATGAATAGAACTCTAGAAAGACTTACCCTTTGGAAGGACACTAGAAAGTCTACTCAGATGAGGTAGGTTTAGAGGAAACTCTAGGTCTAGGGAACGATAACTGCAGTGATCAAGTGTGTGTAATCTTCAAAGGGGTTATCTTGATTGTAATTGAGGAACTTTTGTGGGTGTAGTGACTGATGACATTGGCGATAGTGATGCAGTTTAGGGGTGGATGGTTCTGGAGGCTTGAATGAGAAATTTAGATGATAAAATAGACAATCGATGCTAGAATTGGCAGTGAGTAGCAGTGATGACTTGATAAAAATTACATCTGAGAGAATTAGAGAAAAACTGATTGGCTCTTATGGGTAAGAAAGTGAGAAGTCACAAAGGACTTTTTGGAAGTTTGTCACTCTAAACTTATTTTAACTACTTGAAGGAACCCTAACAACTCATCTAACTTTACCTTCAGCTATAGCACTCCTTAATGTCTGGCTTAATTTGCCAAATAAGCAAATTAAGCAAATAATAATGTTATATTGAGTTATTTTTATGTTATCTTTAAGGCTTTTTTATTTATCAAGTCATTCTAACATATCATTGCTAGGAAAAGCACAATAAGCAGTCTGAGTTTACCATGGACAACTTGATCACTACCGTCTGGGATGTGTTTTCTGCTGGAACAGAGACAACAAGCACCACCCTAAAATATGGACTCCTGCTTCTGCTGAAGCACCCGGAGGTCACAGGTATGATCACAGATGGTGGGCAGAATGAAATTCCAGGTAGAAATTGGCAGGCGACACTGATGTGTATCCTACTCTTCACCTGCCTAAACAGTGTACAAGAAAATTGTAAATTGTAGAGTGCTCTTGATTTGCATCAGGACAGATGAAGTAAGCAGAGCTGTCTTAGGATCTGGAGAGAATTAGCCTTCCTCATTCTCTAAAAAGATATCACTTGATATATCCTTCCATGTCCAGATAAGTATATTTTCATAAAAAAATATTTCTATTCAAGTGAGTTTGCAATCTAAAGATTGACTCAACAAAATTACAATCTTTCTCTGCCAAAGGGACTTACTCTTTAAATAAAAAAAAAAGAAAAATTATTTTCAAATATACTCTTTTGGGCAGATGGGTTTTTCCTCACAAACATGATTTCTCTTGCAACTGCAACGTTTCCATTTTTCCTCCGCTTTTTTATTGAATCTTTTTCAAAGAGGATTATTTCCTTCACCACTATATCATGTTTTGTGTTTTGGCACATTAAGACACTTTTAGTACAATTGAATCTCGTAAAGCTTATCTCCATGACATCAGCACCAGATTTTTCTACTTTGTTTAAAGTCCTTCTGCTCTCCCATTGCATATGAGATGCTTTCCAAATGGTGCAATTCAGGCGCTTAGCCTCCAATTCCTTTGCCTGTGCTCATTGTGGGATATGATGGTAATATATTTCTTTCATGTGACATATACTCTTTTAGCCAAATAACTTCACTAACTCTTATAAGACCTATATTGATTGTGACTATAAATAGCATATGGCATTTTTCTCCAAATATTTACATCTTGTATATATTTCAAAAGCCCTTCTTGTGTCATATTTTCCCATTGTTTCCATTTCCATTTTTCCATTTGGATTATTTCTTGCAACACATCCATTTATATTTTCCTTTTCTCTCTTCCCATCTTCATCTCTCACTGTGCCGTCCTACTAAGCATCTGATTTTATAAACAGTTCCTAACCACTTCATATAATCACTTGTTTCTAGACAACACTCCAGCATCTCAACCTGAGAAGGTGAAGTTTAGATCTTCTCTAAAATTCTTAACCTTTTCTTCTTTATAGCTACTAAGCCATAGAATTTTTATATGTTCCATTACACAGACACATTCTTCAGGCTGTAGGTGAATACCATTTGACCAAAGTAGCAATGTGGTATTGGAGAAAATGGATTATAGTGTCTAACAATAATGGCTTCAGATTCTGACTCTACTAGTAAGTAGCTGTGTTACCTCAGACTCATGATTACCTCTCTCCATATGCTGGTCCCTCATCTGTTTAAGGGAGATGATAATACTTCCTAACATTCATAGAGTCTTTCCCTCATAAGAAAAAGTTAATAAGTGTTTGTTTTAACTAATAGATAGCCCTACTTAAATTATATATTATTAACTTGACATACTTTATAGGTAAAGGAAAAATATAATTCACTAACACAAATTACTTTCAGTAATCTTATTCAATTTCTAAGATTGTGAGTTTGGAAGTGAGAAAGACCACATAATATCTAATGTCTTTAAGAAATATATTTACTTTTCTGGGTCTGTTTCCTCATTTTTAAGATACATAAAATAATACCCAACACATAGAACCAGTTAGAGGAATTATAAAGTAATATAATAAATAGTGCATCATGCCTGTCAAATTTTGCAATCTAAATAAATGTTAACTTAGTTCTTGTTCCTACATGCTGAATCAGCTAAACATCTTATCTAATTGCTCTATTTATTAAGCATTTACTGGGTAGTTCTTACCCTTTTAGAACATACATATTGAAAACAAAAACTGGCATACACAAAGAGGTTAAACTACATGGTTTGTAGTGAGCCTTCAAGATCCTAGACCCCTAAGTCTATCAAAAAAAAGTATACAAAATAAAGAATCAGTGTTGACAAATGAATTTCATGGTACAATTGTGTTTTATATCTACATAGATTTAAGTCTTTAATGAAATTCCAATTTGCCTGGGAAACTGAAATTCTGTTTCTTTTTACCCCTTATGGAGGTAGCTATATGTAATTTTCCCCTTTCCCCATCTCCCACCACAATGTAACCATAATTAAGAAGGTCATTTCAGAGCCCAGGTGAAGATGGCAGAGTAGGTAAATACTGTGCTTGCCTCATCTCACAATCAAAGACAAAGAGAGAAACTTAAGAGCAGCAAGAAAAAGCAGTTAGTTACCTACAAGGGAGCTCCCATAAGACTGTCAGCTGATTTTTCAACAGAAACTTTGCAGGTAAGAAGGGATTGGCACAAAATATTCAAAGTGATGAAAAGCAAGGACTACAACCAAGATTACTCTACCCAGCAAAACTGTCATTTAGAATTGAAGGACAGATAAAGAGCTTTCCAGACAAGAAAAAGCTAAAGGACTTTGTCAACACCAAACCAGTATTACAAGAAATGTTAGAGGAACTTTTTTAAGGAGAAGAAAACAATAAAAAACATGAAGAGTAAAATGGTGATCACTATATACCTATCAACAATTACTTTTAACATAAATGGGTTAAATACTCTAATCAAAAGACAGGGTGGCTGAATGGATAAGAAAACAAGACCCTGACATATGCTGCCTACAAGATACTCACTTCAGATTGAAAGACATACATAGACTGAAAGTAAAGGGATAGAAAAAGGTATTTTATGAAAATGGAAACAAACAAAAAAGTTGGGGTAGCAATATTCATATCAGACAAAATAGACTTTAAAACAAAGGCTATAACAAGAGATAAAGAAGGACCCAGTTATTCCACTTGTGGGTATTTATCCAAAGACCGAAAACACTACTTAGAAGAGACGTGTGCATCCATATGTTCATTGCAGCATTATTTACAGTAGTCAAGATATGTAGGCAACCTGGGTGTCCATCAATGGATGAATGAATATAGAAGAGGTGGTGCATATATTCAATGAAATAATACTCAACCACATAAAAGACTGAAATCTTGCCATCTGCAACAACATAGATTGACCTAGAAGGTATTTAGCTGAGTGGAGTAAGTCAGACAGAGAAAGACAAATGTAATATGATTTCACTTATATGTGGAATCTAAAGAACAAAATAAACTAACAAACACAAAAGAAATAAACTCATAGATACAGAGAACATTTTTATGGTGGCCAGATGGAAGAGGCATGGAGGGTGGGGGTGAAAAAGGGGAAGGGACTAAGAAGTACAAATTGGGGACCGGCCGGGTGACTCGGTTAAAAGCGCGAGCTCTGGGTCACCGGTTGGATTCCCACGTGGGCCAGTGAGCTGCGCCTGAGCTGAGCTGTCGCTGAGCTACCAACAGATGGCAGAATGGCTCAGCTGGTGAGAGCGCGTGCTCCTAATAAGGTTGCTGGTTTGACTCCCGCATGGGATGGTGGGCTGCGCCCACTCACAACTAAGATTGAACACGGCACCTTGAGCTGAGCTGCCGCTGAACTGCTGACAAGCAGCCGGATGGTGACTGGACTTTGAAGCTGAGCTAGGTGCGCCATCCACAACTAAGATTGAAGGACAACAACTTGGCTGTTCCCCTTCCCCAGTTCCCGAATAAAATCTTTAAAAAAAAAAAAGTACAAATTGGTAGTTATAAAATAATCATGGGATGTAAAACATAGCATATAGAATATAGTCAACAACATTGCAATAACTATGTATGGTGTCAGATGAGTATGAGATTTATCAGGGTGATCACTTCATAAATTATATAAATCTCTAATCACTGTGTTGTACACCTGAAACTAATATAATAGTATATGTCAACTGTAATTGAAAAATAATAAAGAAGAAAATCATTTCATGTCTTTTCCATTTCACATTAATTCTGATTCCTACCTTGCCAGCTAAAGTCCAGGAAGAGATTGACCGTGTGATTGGCAGACACCGGAGCCCCTGCATGCAGGACAGGAGCCACATGCCCTACACGGATGCCGTGGTGCATGAGATCCAGAGATACATTGACCTCGTCCCCACCAGTGTGCCCCATTCAGTGATTCGGGATACTAAGTTCAGAGACTATCTTATACCCAAGGTGAGAAATCCTATGTATTTCATCTATACTCCTCCTCAGGACTCTTAGGTTATCAACTATCACAATTGTAGAATTACAGGTTGCCTAACCTTCTACAAATATTGCCAGTCGTAACTCAGGTATCTCACCCTTTGACCACATGCTCCTTTCCTTATAGTTTGTTGATACAATTTTATAAATACAATAACTGCTTAGATTACCACAGGATTTTCAATACACTCTGCCTGTCTGTTAGCCCAACCTGCTGTCCACTTCTCTGCGTTCCAGTGTATGTTTTATTACTTCTACCACTTAACCAGTATCCTATACTCCCCTTGCTTCGTCAGCTATCTGTTTCACTTGTCAAAATTTTCATGAATAAAATATGAAACAATTCAATTGAAAGAACATAGTAGGAAGAAAGGAGACTTACCAGGCTCTCATCCTGATGGGGAAGTAACTGGTTTTCAAGAATATGGCCACTCAAGTAGAGTTCTAAGAAGATCTCATATTTAGTTTCAAAGAGAATGAGCTGGATTTTCAGTGACATCAGCACTTTTAAACAATAGTGCAATTTATTTGTTAAGAACAATGCACTCCAGGGATCTTCCCAAATTTTCTGAAAAGCAAGTGCTGGCATCTGGCTACAAACTGAAGAGGATGGCCTTGGAGTCAATGAACAGGGCTCTGGACTGGCATTATATGATTTAATACCTGTTACACTTGGTCATGAATTTATTTTGTGACATGAAGTAAATAAATCCTTTTTAAAAATTTTTTTAAAAAAATTAGTTTCAGGTGTACAACACAGTGCAATAGTTATACTTTTTACCCCTCAAAGTGACAACCCCCTACCCCCAATCCGCCACCCACTCCCACCCCTGATATCATGCTTATCTATTACAATTCCATTGACTCCACTCCCACACTATACTCCACATCCCGTGACTATATATATATTCAATTATAGTTGACATACAATATTATACAACGTTAGCTTCAGGTGTACAGTGAAGTGATCAAGCCTCTACCCCTTCCATGAAGTGGTCTCCCTAACAAGACATGTGACCATCTGACACCCTACAAAATATTTACAGCATTATTAATTCTGTTCCCTGAACTGTCTTTCGTATCCCTGTGGCAATATTGTAGTTACTTATTTATGCTGTCTGATCCCTTCCCCTTCTCCCTCATCCCCACCCAAATTCTCCTTTTTATGCCTCAGTCTCCTCATCTATAAAACAAATGGATTAGATAAGGGCCTTTTTTTTTTTTTGTAAGCTCCATAACCTTCTTTATAATCCAGTTTATCTCTTTCTCTTTATATCAGGGCACAACTGTATTTGTATCTCTGACTTCTGTCCTGCACGATGGCAAAGAGTTTCCCAACCCACATCAGTTTGATCCTGGCCATTTCCTGGATGAAAAGGGCAACTTTAAGAAGAGTGACTACTTCATGGCTTTTTCAGCAGGCAAGCAAGCTTCATTTTTATCTGTACCTCAGGGATCAAATGACATGAGGAAAGGCTTTGCGTGGAGGTGACTTTGGGCTGGATATATTATCATTTGCATGAGGCCAGAGGCACCACTCCCAAAGTCCAGGTTCTCATTGGATTGGAGGCTGCTCACTGAGTTCTGTCTCATAACCCACCACCAAAATTCCTACTAGCTCCTCCCAGAGGTCCAATTTCACAACCTTTTTCACCTGCCTTGGGGAGCCGGTTCACTGAATACACTTCACTGAAGACCCTATATGTAGCAGACTCATGTTCAGATCCAAGGATATAAATGTGAATAAGAAACAAATCCTCTCTCTAAGAGAGAGGAAGGCAGATTAACAATGAGACTCCAGAAAGACAGATGCTCTTTGAGGGGCTATTGTGGGAGCCCAGACAGAGGAGCTCCTGACTTTTGCCTTTTGGTGGGCAGGGGCAGAGGGCAGAGTAGTTGGAGGGTAAGGGAAAATTTCTTGCAGGAAGTAGCATTTGAGTATCTTCCTTTAATTTGTCAGGCTCCTGGAAAGAAATAGGTAGCGTACTCAAAAAGGTCAATTAAAGGGCCGGCCTAGTGGCGCGATGGTTAAGAACTGGCTTGGGACGCTAGAGGGCCCTGGTTCGGATCCCACATATGAGGGCCAGTGACACTGCCCTCCACAGCTAAGATGCTGAACAACAGCTCAACCTGGAGCTGGGCTGCCATGGGTTGCCGGTGACGGCGGCGTAGGCTGCAGCCCCTGCTGCAGTGGGTTGCCATGGGCTACCGTGTGTAGCCAGCAGCCAGCGTGAGCGGCCAGCAGCCGCAGTGAGCGGCCAACCAGAAGCCGGCGACTGATCTGCCTCACCCGGGAAGAGCGCAATGATGGTGCCAACTTGGGCCAGTGAAGCAACATCCTCCACAACTAGACTGAAGAACAAAAGGACAGCAACTTGTCTGTTCCCCTTCCCCCAATTCCCCAGCGCTGTTCCCATCCCCCAATTCCCCAATAAAAATCTTAAAAAAAAAAAGGTAAATTAAAGAAAGTTTAATGAAAAGACTGTTTTCAGACGTATGAGAAGGAGGTGTGGTAAAGTACTTGGGGTAGCATCGGCAGGAAGACGTTACCATCCTTGGTTGGAAGGAATGAGGGAAGGCAGGGTATTCCTGGAAACCAAAGAAATCTTTAGCAAAGAGGGAGTGGATGCCTTGACAGGAGATTGTGTCTGTAGATAGAGGAATACAGCCACTGCCTAAACTGTGACCTGGCAAGGAGGGATTGAGCAAATTATACTGTGACCGTTTCAATAGCTAATCCTCTAATTTTATTCAGAGTGAATTCAGGGGGAAGAGCCTTTCCTATAGAAGCCACTGAAACAGAGACAAACATTGGAGATTTGCTCCTTGTTGACTATCTAAGAAAATAGGTATCAAGTAACCCTTGGTCTTGTAGTCTCAAGATCATGTGCAACAGCCAGAGATGATGCTAAAGCAAGACACTGCTGTATTCCTTATCTTTCTCCCTGTTTTGGGGTCCACTATTGCATAAGGAGCCTGCTGGAGATTCCCATTCATATCACAGGGCTTGCAGGCTCCCTTTTTTCCGGACTCTGATGTGGGTTGGGATACCATTTCAAGATCTAAGGCCTGACTTTAAGAGCTTATATCCCCGTCTGCAAGACAGATGAATACTTATAATTTCATGGGAAGTGTGCTATATTAGAAGCATTAACGAGGGTTGTGGAAAACAGATAAGGGAGTGAATTACAAAGCCTGAGGGCATCAAAGAGGTCTGCATACAATAAATGACATCTGAACTGGAACTGGAAGGATGCGGAGAATATCAGCAGGCAGAGCAGAGGGGAAGGCTGTTTCATTCCGAGGAGGGACTGGAATCTGAGATAACATTTGAAATTGCCAGTCTGTTTGGGGCTTGGTGAATGGTTAGTAAAGCTTGTGGCTAGTTTGTGATGTTTCTTTTTATACTGGGCAATAGTAAGCTCTTGACATTTTTTAATGCAAGGGACATGACAAAGTTAAGATTATCCTTTAGAGTCCAGATGAGGAAAAACAAATCTATTGTTGAGTCTTGGGTTGGAAGTAGATGGAAAAGTACCGTATTTCCCCATGTATAAGACGCACCTTAATTTGGGGGCCCAAAATTTGAAAATAAATGTACTATAGAAAGGTATTGAAATCAATTTTTATTTATCATAAAATTCATACAACTCCTCATCACTGTCAAAACTCCCAACCATAGCCAGTCTCGGATTGTTTTCTCAGTTGGAGGAGGACCAAACTTACGTTCAGCAGCACGATTTCCATTCACTTTTGCAAACTGGATCACTTTTAACTTGAATTCAGCACTGTACAGAAATATTTTCTGAGCCATTTCTGGGCAGAACGTGGTANATGGGGGAACACGGTACATGGTGTATCTCATGCCAATTGGGATATGTGAGTATGTGTGTGTGAGTGTGTGTGTGTAGGAAGATGTCACTGACAAGCCTCAACGAAGCAAATCTAACGTGGGTGCACAGAAAAGATTTTTTCCTATAGCATGCACACAGAAATATGTGCTGAGGAAATGAAGGAAACTAGGTTTCAGTGTAGATGGAAGAAGCGATTGGTTCATTAGTCTTTTATTAATATATTTATTTATTTTCATATATTTTTAAGTCACCCTGTGTGCTAACTCAGAAATAGAACGAAATGAATATTTAATTTATGTGTCATTTCTAGGAAAAAGAGTTTGTGCTGGAGAAGCCCTGGCCCGCATGGAGCTGTTTTTACTACTGACCAACATTCTACAGCATTTTACCTTGAAACCTCTGGTTGATCCAAAGGACATCGACACCACCCCGTTTGTCAGTGGGATAGGCTCTATACCACCTGCCTATGAGCTCTGTTTCATTCCACTCTGAAGAAAGGGGGAGGTTGCCAGATTGCAGAGCAAGACCCTCCGGACTCATCTGAATGAGTCAGATGCTTTCTAATGTGTGGTCCTAATGTCTCTTCTAATTTTCCCCATCCTTTAAAAAATAAACCTATAAAGCCTCTGGTGTGAAACATAAGAAAAAGTCTTTTTTGTTTTCTTTAAAAAATTTTTTTCAATTCCAGTTGACATTATAGTCAATGATATTGTAAGAGAAAGTCTTTATGACCTTGACTTCTGCAAAGATTTTTTTAAAAATAGGCCACTAAAAGCACTAATTATACATAGGTCTTTACTTAGGTTAATGTTTAAACTCCTATCTGTTCATCAAAGCAATCTTAAAGAAGCGTAACAAATTTGGAAGACCTACACTGACAGCTATCAATTTCTGTTATAAAATTTCATAGCCCTGTAAACAGCACAAAATTCATCTGGCTGCCACACATGATATTTACACTTTTCTCATCTTGTGTTGGTAGAGAACTGGGGAACTTCAAGAGCTCTGAGGTCAGTGTAGGTGAAACACATCTTACCTTGGGGATGAGGTGGTTTCTGAATTTAACATTACGGGTCACTGAATGGGGCAGGTTAGTGGGGATAAAGTCAATGTATCTCTGGATCTCATGCACCACGGCATCCGTGTAGGGCATGCGGCTCCTGTCCTGCAGGCAGGGGCTCCGGTGTCTGCCAATCACACGGTCAGTCTCTTCCTGGACTTTAGCTGATAAAACACAAGTAACACTGATGGAAAAGGAGAAAAATGGCACTTTTACTGTAGCAATTCAGATATACATGAAGCAATACGACAGTGTCCCAGTGTCATTATAAACTATATGCCTAGAAGTACATCTAGACCTATAGAGAGAATTGCTATAAGTACATATAACTCTCTTCCAAGGTAAGTATTAAAGTAAATCTGTATATTTTAAACAATATCCCATGAATTCCTGGTATAGAGATGAGGATTTGCATCTACATACCCACCTCATAAAAAATACTTACAGGGCTGGCCAGGTGGCTCAGTTGGTTAGAGCACAAGCTCTGAGCAATAGGGTCACCGGTTTGATTCCCACATGGACCAGTGAGCTGCGTCCCAGTTCAGCTGCTGCAGAACTGCCAATGGGCGGCCAGATGGCTCAGCTGGTGAGAACACCTGCTCCTAACAACAAGGTTGCCGGTTAGACTCCCACATGGGATGGTGGGCTACGCCCCCCACAACTAGATTGACAGCAACGACTAGACTTGGATCTAAGCTGCGCTTTCCACAACTAAGATTGAAGGTTAACTTGACTTGGAGTTGATGGGTCCTGGAAAAACACAATGTTCCCCTTCCCTGATTCCCCAATAAAATCTTAAAAAAAAAAATGTTATATATTTATTAAAAACACACACACACACACACACACACATACCTGCAAACTCTCACACATGTGTGTGCACACACATACATGCTTACTCTCACTCCATTTTCCAGAACGTATTTATATCACAATTTCTGGTTATATTGGGTTGTCAGAAAAGTCATGACGTATTTTTGCAACGAAAAACATAGAAAACCTATGTCATGACTTTTCCGACAACCCAATACCAATATTCATTGTTTACATCATCCTGACCATATAAATATTGCTCCTTAATAAAACAATTATGATTATATTTTATTTTTTGTACTTTCTTAGACTTAATTATGTCTCTTTATTTCAATTAGTAGTTTTCTATATCCCAGTTTAAGATTATTTTCAAATGTTTAGGTGGATGTTTGAAATAAATCATAATTTCCCAATAACTGGGAACCCTCACACACTGATCACTTCTTTCTTGTTCTTGTTGTCTTCCCTCACACCTCCTTTATCCACCCAGTCCACTTTGAAATGAGTGTTTTCTAGGTCTGGTGCCCAGCACCCTTGCTGACAATCCCACTCTCCTTCATGAGGTCTCTCGATTCCTGGAGCCAACAACTTCCTCTGACTTGGTTTTAGTCATTTGAATGGAGCACATCTTCCAGTATCTTTCTGATAAAGGGAAAGAGAGGCTAAAATTGTTGGTAATGTGTAGGTCTGAAAATACCCTCCTTTATAGTCATACACAAAATGATAGTTGCCACTGAGAATTCCGATGCTGTTCTGAATCCTAATCCTTTCTATGTGACCTGATTGACCTCTCGAAGTTTTTGTAATCTCTTTCATCCCAGTGTTCTGAATTTCCATAACCCTGTGTCTTGGTGTAGATGTTTTTATTTCATTCATTTGGCTGGACACTTGGGGAAATGTTTCTGTCTACATGGCAAAATGTGAAGATCTTTCCTCTAGAGCTGATCACCCTCTGGAGGATACACGTGGCTGTTGAAGCAGAGGAAGCAGGATAGAGAAAAGAGCTAAGAGTGTAAAAATTCAGTAAGTGGACTCTTACCTACCTTTGCTTTTCAGCCCTACAGCTCACTCTTTCCCTGTCTATGCCCACTGTCTTTGAGTGTAGGGCCTCTTAGGTTCAGTTTCTCTAGAGAGGAAGCCTCCCTCTTTCTGTGGGGGAAAACAGTTACCTAAAAAAAAACGAAGGAACCTGGGAAGGGATAACCTCCTTTTTCAAACTCTCTCCCCCTATCTTCTATGAAACTTGGTTCTTCCAGTTAGTGAAACTTATGAGGATTGCCGTGATACAAATTAGCTTTTCTTCCTTGATAAATCTTTCTCTTTCCTCATCTGACATTTAGGTTACAACATCATCCTCTCTGCTGAGTGATCACCCTTCAGTCAGCTGTGTTTCAGAAATTTGTTGAAGACTTTTTGGCTATTTGCTGTACTCCTCCAACTTGAAAAACACTAGTTCTTGTTTGTAATTAGTTTTTAGTCATTTCAGTAGACTCTTGACACAGGAAAAGATAATGTATGTGGCTACTCTTCTATGCATAATATAAAAGTATATTTCTAAAATAAAGTTTTTCATAAAAGATAAAATTATGGACCCAAAGAAAAATTCTTATTTTGACAACACCATTTTTCTAAACTCAGACTTCCAGAATAATAAATTCCTTTAGGCACATATTCTGCCTTAAAGCAATACATTTCTTTTGAATTAACATTTTAGAATACTTCCCAGACTAGTAACTTTCACAAACTTCCTGACTAAAATCAGAATTTCCACTTATTTCCACTTATGTGTCAATAAGGAGAGTTTTCATTGTCTTACCCCAGAAATAGAATACTGCATTTTCAGAATGAGGTAAGATTTCTGCAAGAACATGTCTACCATTCAAAGTGCAGTCTTCTTAAAAAACAAAACAAAACGAAAAAACCATGTGCAATCTTAGTCAATTTACATTTACTGTGCCTACTGCAAATCGCCTCCATGAAATCCAGACATTGTACCATAGCTTTTTACTGCCCACACTGTCCTCATGTCTCTAGTTACTCTCTCCTTTTGTCCAAAGTTATCTCATTTTCATCCCTTCATTAAATATGAAAAAAATTACAGCTGATGGCATAGAAATTTAAATAATGAAGCTTCTCTAAAATAAACAAGATGGAGAACACTAGTAATGCTTTGTCAAATTTAATTTTGAAATTCATTCTGTTCAGCATGTGTGGCCATACCTGTGACCTCTGGGTGCTTCAGTAGGAGCAGGAGTCCATATCTCATGGTGGTGCTTATTGTCTCTGCACCAGCAGAAAATACATGAGATACAGTGGATATCAAGTTTTCAATAGTAAATTCAGAATGTGGATTGTGCTTTTCCTAGGAATAATTTGATGCAATTATTTGACAAATGAATTTGCCAGCTTGCTTAATTACAATGAATCGAAAATAACAGGCTGATTTCTGGTCAAGATGGCAGAGTAGGTAAATGCTATGCTTACCTCCGTTCACAACCACATCAAAATTACAACTAAACTACAGAACAACCATTATTGAGAATCATCAGAAGTCTAGCTGAACAGACGTTCCACAACTAAGGACATACAGAATAAGCCATGTCTCGATGAGTAGGAGACAGAGATGTGGAATGGGCTGGTCCTACATCCGTGTGTGATGGTTAAAAATCAGGGCAGGAGGGAGGGATATCTTGGCTTTGGAGTTCTCCCTGGAGGAGCGAGAAGTCCCACCCCATACCAGGCTCCTCAGTGCAGGGTTCCAGTGCTGGAAGAGAAGTCCCCACAACTTATGGCTGTGATAACTAGTAGAGATTATGACTGAGTGAGACAGAGGGCTGCTGGAGTCCCAGGCATTCCTCTTATAGTGCCCATGCACAGACTTACTCACTGACAGACTCACTTGCTCTGAGCTGCAGCCCTGGGGCAGCAGTTCAAAAGGTGCAGGAACATATGGGAAGGACTGAAGTGTCTGGGTGAAGGCTGGAGGGGCAGGTTTCTTTCAGACAGAAGTGCTGGCAGAATCCGTTGTTTCTTTGTTCAACTCTCCTTCCTCCTGGCATGTAGATGCAGGCAGTTGCCATAAGAGTCCCCATCAATATGGCTAACACTCTCTGCCCCCTCCCTTCGCGGTGATTTCCTGAGACCCTACACCACTCAACTTTCGGGCACATCCAAGCCGCTTCCAACGCTTTTTCCATACAAGCGGCCTATTTGCTTCATGCTGCAGACTTCCCTAAAATCTCTCAAAGTTTCACAAAACCCAAAAAAGGCTTTGGTATGTCTCATACCACTTGCTGAGCAGCCCCAAGCTTGGCAGTAGCTGCAAATAGCCTCAGTTTGCAGCTTGGCCTCTTGAGGCACCTGCAAGCCCAGTACAGGTGGCAATCATCTGCAGATTGCTTTGTGGCTCATGCCAGATTAGCCCTGGCAGGAGACAGGATGCCACTGAATATCGCCTGCAGTGGAGCCCCTCTCAGGAGACTCCAGGGCTGGCACACTCAGTGGCCAGTTTTGGACCTAGCCAGGGGATTACCTGGCCATGTCCCCAAGGACGACATACCCGAAGAGCAGGCTGAGAAGGCACCTGAGCCCTGCTAAAGCAAATCCTGCTCCACAGGGTCAGCCCTTGTGAAGCAGCTCCTCCACTATAGTCATGGGCAGTCCTTACAACCAATCAGCCTGAGGGTAAATCCCTCCCACCAATGTGCAAACAGCAACCAAGTCTCAACTATAACAGGAGGCACATACAACACACACACGGAACATGCTTGGAGCA